TAATTAAAGTATCCTCTTTTTAATGCAACAAGCCGTTTTGAAAAATCACTTTTAGTTCTTGAGAAATAAATTTTTGAAATAATCGACAATTTTTTCGAATTTTGCAATTTTCGCCGATTAAGTTTTAAAAATTCGTATAAAATCCATTTCTTGGAATATGAGTATGAAAATTTCCCAAAGTGTTAATAAAAGTGTCCTCTTTCCAATGAACCAACCCGTTTTGAAAAATAACTTTTAGTTTTTGAGAAAACAATATTTGAAGTTTTGATAAAATTTTCGATGTTGCAATTTTCATCGATAATTTTCAAAATTCGCTATAAAATTAATTTCTTGAAGGATCCTTGTGGAAATATCACCAATTATTAATTAAAGTATCCTCTTTTTAATGCAAAAAGCCGTTTTGAAAAATCACTTTCAGTTCTAGAGAAATAAATTTTTGAAATAATCGATAATTTTTTCGAATTTTACAGTTTTCGCCGATTAAATTTTAATAATTCGTATAAAATCGATTTCTTGGAATATGAGTATAAAAATGTCCCAAAATGTTAATAAGAGTCTCCTATTTCCAATGAAAGAACCCGTTTTGAAATATAACTTTTAGTTTTTGAGAAAATAATATTTAAAGTTTTGATAAAATTTTCGATGTTGCAATTTTCATCGATAATTTTCAAAATTCGCTATAAAATTAATTTCTTGAAGGATCCTTGTGGAAATATCACCAATTATTAATTAAAGTATCCTCTTTTTAATGCAAAAAGCCGTTTTGAAAAATCACTTTTAGTTCTTGAGAAATAAATTTTTGAAATGATCGACAATTTTTTCGAATTTTGCAATTTTCGCCGATTAAGTTTTAAAAATTCGTATAAAATCCATTTCTTGGAATATGAGTATGAAAATTTCCCAAAGTGTTAATAAAAGTGTCCTCTTTCCAATGAACCAACCCGTTTTGAAAAATAACTTTTAGTTTTTGAGAAAACAATATTTGAAGTTTTGATAAAATTTTCGATGTTGCAATTTTCATCGATAACTTTCAAAATTCGCTATAAAATTCATTTCTTGAAGGATCCTTGTGGAAATATCGCCAATTATTAATTAAAGTATCCTCTTTTTAGAGTTGCTTCGATAGTTAAATCAGCATCAAAAAAGTTCATTTTGTATCTTGTATCCAAGTTGACTTATCAGCTTTCTTATTAATTTCATTTTTATTCAAATATCGCAATAATGTGGTAATATATTGTACCACTTCAGAAATTATAACCATAATGGCCAGATAATAATAATAATAATAATAATAATGCCTTTATTAACTCTTACAATTAGTGTACAAGTATAAAAAAAAACAGAATACAAAAACGTTAAAATAATAAGAAATAAGTATAATGTTACAAAAACAAAATTACAACAACATTGCAAAGGCTAACAGGTGGCTGGGTCAGACAACACCACAAAGTAGTGAGGTCTGCTCTTCCCCCAGTCCCNTTTTGAAAAATAACTTTAAGTTTTTGAGAAAACAATATTTGAAGTTTTGATAAAATTTTCGATGCTGCAATTTATATCGATAACTTTCAAAATTCGCTATAAAATTAATTTCTTGAAGGATCCTTGCGGAAATATCACCAATTAATAATTATAGTATCCTCTATTTAATGCAAAAAGACGTTTTTAAAAATCACTTTTAGTTCTTGAGAAATAAATTTTTGAAATAATCGACAATTTTTTCGAATTTTGCAATTTTCGCCAATTAAATTTTAATAATTCGTATAAAATCGATTTCATGGAATATGAGTATGAAAATTTCCTAAAATGTTAATAAAAGTGTGCTCTTTCCAATGAACCGACACGTTTTGAAAAATAACTTTTAGTTTTTGAGAAAACAATATTTGAAGTTTTGATAAAATTTTCGATGTTGCAATTTTCATCGATAATTTTCAAAATTCGCTATAAAATTANGTAAGTAAGTAGTGAAAATGAATACAGCGCACAAGACAAAAAATACAAAAAACAAAAATTGAATGCATGAATAAAGCAAATAACAAATAAAAATTAAAATTTTACTCTAGAAAACCTAAATTGATTCCATCTGCCGCTCACAGAGATATCGCTTGTATTTATATTTAAAACTCGACAGGCTCAATATTTTTAATGAACGAGGAAGGGTATTCCAAAAGTTTGTCACACAATAAGTGAAAGAATTCCGAAATGACGCCGACGCGTGACGAGGAACTGTAAGTGCATCTTTTCGACGAATATTGATATTGTGGATGTCAGTACGATACGATATCTTCTTGCTCAGATAAACAGGTGTTTTTTTATTTAAAATTTTAAAATAAATTACTCCCCTGTGAAAAATGATTCTGTTATACATATTTAGCCACCCACATTCTTTTTAGATATGTATTTTTAGATATGCCGGATACAGTGGCGTAGCTAGCCATGAAGGGGCCCTGTATCAATAAAATATTGGGAGCCCTTTTTGGGGTAATAAAGAATACATATACAAAAACAAAAATTTATTATAATTTATGATATTATCCATTGCTGATGACGATTTCAATTTTTCAAGTTCCTATTTTTCTATGGACAGTATTGATAAATCCGATAGTCGATCTTGTTCCATAGATGTCCTTAGGTATGTTTTAATGAGCTTCAATTTAGAAAAGCTTCTTTCAGCAGTTGCGGTTGTAACTGGAAGCGTCAAAAATATAAAACATGCTGTTATAACCTCTGGGAAGCTAGAGGTGAGGCTATTTAATTTTATAACAAGCAATTCTACAAGATCTTTAACTGTGGGGATTTTTTGAATTTCAGATTTTAAGCAACTTTTGAAAGTAATTAGCTGATCATATAAATCAACTGTTAAATCCTTTTGATATATGCTGGCCAACTTTGCTGTCTTATTTTGTATTTCTTCATTTGAAAATGAAAGTAATTTATCCGGTTGTAAAACGTCAAATATATTATTCACATTATGCAATGCCTGAAATCTTTGTTTTGTTTTAACAATCATTATATCGGTACAGGAATAAAATATGTTGACTATGAAATACGATTCTGGATCATTTTGGGAAGCTCCTTTTGAAACTTGTAATGCAGGGGCAATCGAAGGTCGGGGCCCTCCAACCTCGGGGGACCTGTATCATTGATACAGCTGATACAGATAATCGTTCGGATATCCATTCCATCACTAGTTAATTTCTTCCAAAAATAGTTTTTTTTTCACAAATTATGGTACACATTGTTGTTTAAAAGGTATTTAGGTTGGTGATGTTACACAAAAAGGATTTTGAAAATAAACAAAGAACTGAAAGTGGTAAATAGGAACGGGTAGCTATTAGTAAAATGTAACCGGGTCCGCGCGACAGTTAAGAGTGAGAGAAGACGTTCTGGTCTCTCCAAGAATAGCTTAGAAGAGAATTTGCCGGCCATTCTTCGGCTGTCCGCAAAAACGGCGGCGTCGCGACGTCGGAGCCACCGAAGGCGTCTTCGCGGGTTTATTTCCATCCGGACGCCCATTTGTTAACGTCGCCCGGGCAGACGTTGCGACGCTAAAGGTACCATTAACGCAACGTATGACGGTACTTGATACTTTTCTGCCTCAACGCTTATAACATCACAACCACCAGAAGTAAACATCACACATCTTTGCTATTTCCACATCCATTTCTAAAATGTCTAAAAAAGATCAAACAGAAACAAAAAAAAAGGTAACTAAAGTGATTTACCCACATTTTTTTGAGCTATCAAGCTTCTCAAAAAAAAAATCAAGGTGTATTAAAAAAATTAACGAGTACAAGTGCGAATACCGGTCTTAAAAAATTGGTGCTTCGCCTCGGGGGGCTAAGATGTGGAAATTTGCATAAGAGAGGTACCGCCGAATCCGTACGTACTCATTAACAGGTGAGAACGAGTGAGAACCGCGGCAGAATAAACAACAAATTGCTGACCATACCATGACGTGATACTGAGTTATTGCATCAAATCTCCAGCTTCTTTGGTCGTTTCTCCTTTATTGTTTTATTATGTGGAAGGATGGAATGAAAATCACAAAGAAAAATGGAATAACCCTCAAAACTCATAGGCATAAAAATGAGACTAAAAGGAATTATAAATGGGTGTAGATGAAGTAGAGACAAAAAGGAAACCAAAAAAACGATTAAGAATTTATGTGTGGGATGCGTTACGTTAAACATTCGCGTAATTAAATTTGAGAGCGACGCGCACGTAGAGCGCATAATTTGAGTTCGTGCCAACGCTGATTAGTTCCCGGCCTAAGAGTGTTTCGTCTTGTCAAAATTGCAATTAATTATCGAGCGGCGATTCCAATTAACGCGCCGTTAATACAAAGCTGTTTCTTGAAAAAGAACTCCAAGCCACTTATATCGGCTTCCGTTAAACAAGATAAACATAAATGGGATAAAACATTTTTATTATAGGTAATTTATATATTTAGATAATGTAGAGTTCATTTTATAATTCAATATGAGACTTTATAAATCAACTGGTGATGATGGATATTTCGAAATCAGTAAAGTTTTTTTAAAATAATCGGTAATTTTCTTTTGGCTTAAAGCGAATAACCTCTTTGTCAAAAAAAATCTTCTATGAAATGTAGAGAATTATGAATGTTATCTGGAACATTCTCTCTTGACAATATAAAGGTTTCAAACTTTCTAAAAGAGGAATAAGCTTCATCAAATGTAGGCACAGCGATAAATACTTCATTTTCAAGATTATCATCACCCTCATCTGATTCTGAAACCATAAGAACATTAGGTTTGTTTTTGGTTCAAGAGTTTGTAGTTTCTGAGCCTGAGCCTATGTGGTTTGATTCTGTAGTTCCGCACGGTTCTGAACTCTTCCGTGCATACATATTGTATAAAGACGTATGCGCAGAACAGTTCAGAACCGTTCGGAAGTACAGAACTAAAGCAACCCTATTATTATTGAAACATTTGTAACAGATTATGCTAGCGGATTTCCTAAAAGTTACATACACATACCATTTTTATCTGGAATCATTTTTCTCATAACACTGTCTAAAATATCTTTGTCTGTTGGAACGTCCATTGTATGGATACCATCATCGATATTTATATAATCATCAAATGAACAGTGCATATCTACAGCGGTTTCATATAAAGACCATAAGCACCTCATTTCAGACAAGGGATGAAGATCCTCTTCGTTCCAATAATCTTCTTCCAGCATTTCGGCGTTTTTAACAAACTTTGCCTTTTTGAAGCAATTCGCGATTGTTCGTTCTACCTTCCATGTTTTGTTTAAGTCTTTAATTGCATCAAGTAATGTTATTGTTGTAAAAGTAACTGAATCTGTATTGGTTAACAATTTCATTAAAATTCGTTTTCTATACAACTGTTTAACATTTTGTATAATTCCTAAATTCATCGCTTATAATACAGAGGTCGTATTAGGGGGAAAGTATGCCAGTTTAATATGTTTCAATTTAGATTGTATAGTCCGTGGATGAGCAGGACAATTGTCGACAAACAGTAGAATGCTTCTCTTTTGAGTACCAAATTTTTTATCTAATCCCAAGAGCCATTACTTTATGCCATGAAAACTACGCGGATTTTTTGATTTTCCAATGACTAGTAATTTTAACTTTTCAGATCCAGTCATATTACTGCCGACCATAACAGTAATTCTTTCTTTGCTCTTTTTTCCACCAAAGCATGGTTGATTTTGAAATGCTAACGTTCGATTAGGTAAACATTTATAAAATAAACCCGTCTCATCGGCATTGAAAATATCATTTTCATTGTATTCTTTGATCAAATCAGGCAACACATTTTTTTGCCAATTCTCACAGCATTCTAAATCTACAGACCGCATAATGACTTATAAACAATATTGTGTCTTTGTCGAAACTTATGCAACCACCCTACGCTAGCTACAAAGTCTTCACGACCCATAGCAATAGCAAATTCTTTTGCTTTTTCACGAGTTAGTGAACCAGAAATTGGGCGATTTGTATTGATCGCGGTAGTAACCCATTTAAGCATAACTTTGTCGATATGGTCATAAACACAAGTTTTAAGTCTTTTTCTTTATTTTTTAAAATCGTTGACAGTGTACTTTGAGGAATACCGAATTCAGCAGCAATTTCTTTTTTGTTTTTTTCCCGTTTTTCTACCATCTTAATTAGCGATAGTTTTTCCATAATCGTTAAGCACTTTAATTTTCGCTTATTACTAGCCATTTTAAACACACTAGACACCACCTAGCAGCTTTGACAATAATGAATGTTACGGCTTTCCGTAGTTGTAAACAACTGAATTCAGAGAACTGGATATACAGGACTTTACCGGATTCGTTCGAACCATAAAATCATCCAAATAAAAAAAAATTACTTACAGAACGGATTCGAATATTTTATTCTTTGGTAAATTCGACTTATAGAAGTAAAAGTTGAAGAAATTCCATAGCAGTTCAGTTCGAGTTACAAAGAAATTCGAGTTAGGGAAATTCGACTTAGGTCCATTACTACCATCTTTTAGTTAACTTTATCTTATAGATAAACCCATCTACTAGCCAATCAGAGCGTGTAAAATAGCCGTAACCGTGGTAATAATCCCTTAGATAGCTTAACCAGAAGATGGTAGTAACGAGCCTAAGGCCCACTTTTACCATCCTCCTGATAAACTATCTAGAAGATAGTTGCCATGGTAACGGCGGTTTTAAGCACTCTCATTGGCTAAGGCTCGTTACTACCATCTTCTGGTTAAGCTATCTAAGAGATTATTACCACGGTTACGGCTATTTTACACGCTCTGATTGGCTAGTAGATGGGTTTATCTATAAGATAAATTTATCTAAAAGATGGTAGTAATGGACCTAAGAGCTGGATTTATCTATCGGATAAATTTATCAAGAGGTGGTAAAAGTGGGCCTTAGAGAGATAAAAACACATTTGAAACGTAGTCAAACCGTTGAGCTTACGAAATGTATTCGACTTAGAGGATAATTCGAGATATAGAAGTTCGAGTTAGGGGAATTTCACTGTAATTTTAAAAAATTATGAAAAATCGATTTCTTAAGAAATTACCATACACTTTTCTCCAATTAGCAATTAAAGTATCTACTTTTCAATGAAAACGTCTGTTTTGAAAAATCATGTTTAATTTTTGTGATATTAATTTGTTAACTCAATCCTAATTTCTGGTAATTATGAAACTTTCGTTGATTTATATAAAAAATTGTTGAAAAATCTTGGTAAAAAATTTGAAAGCTTGATTCTTTCTCTATCTAAAACCGTTGATACTAAGATCAATAAAAAATAAAAAACACCGCTATGTACTTAATAGCTCCAAATTACCAAACTTCAAACCCTTGTGCAATTGTTATCAAACTGAATTTTTAGAAACTGTTATCATAGACAGAAAGAGCGGTCCTTCAACTATCTTAACACTTTGCTGACCGGCAATTTTACACAAAAACTATGTTATGTCACCGGGTATATTTTTGTAAATGTTTTAAATAAACTGCAATAAATTTTATTTATACTAAATGAAATGAAATTATACGTTGATCATATTTTTATAGTTCTTAGCTACTTCTAGTAGAAATTTTTTGTATCTTAGTTTATTTTGTGACTTTTAGAGTAAATTTGGAATGCATTAAACTCCACCCGAATAAATCTGAAAGTTGCAAATGTACCCAGACTCACTTTCACAAACCATTCTCAGTAAAATTCCGTATTTTGTAATCTTTGCCGGATTATATGTTTTGAAGCTAAGAAGTTTGTCTCTACTAGGTGCATTTTATACATTATCACTGAGATGGAAAAATGTAAGGATTTGCTCGAACCTCATCCTGCTTAGTTTTAGGGAATATTGGTGCTTCAACCAAAGGGCCAAGAAAATTCCATTGGCCAGTAATCTCTCCAATATGCTTTTTAGGGCCCTTCAATATCAATAACCCAAGAAACTTCTTCATATCGCTTGTTGTAGCGTCCGTCCATGGTAAAGTTTTAGCAGACTTCTTATGCAATGTTTTCATTTGGAAGTTAAATAGTTTCCGTTTGGGCATGAAAAGACGAGTTAACTCGCCACCGGTCAGCAAAGTGTTAATTCGGATTTTCGTCGGTCAATATCTATTGGCGTCATTCTTAAATTACCCTTAATATACTTACATCCCTACACGCAGAAACGGTTAATTGTTCTTCCTCTAAACAACTTTCTTATTTGATAGGGGAAAACTATAGAAGTATATCTATCTTATCGAACATTTTCTGCTCTTTCTATAGGCGTACAAAACCTTTTATTCACACGTTTTAGCCACTTTTAAACTTTGTTCGGGTCAATAACTTTCTTATATGACCAGGAGAAAACTCTAGAACCATGTCAAGGAAGTTTTGTCAGTCAAGAAGTCAGTGTATAACATTATAGTTGTCTTTTATAATTTATGAACATAATTCGCAAAAATATGGTTGACTTGTTTTATTGAGTAAAAGTTTTGCTGGGCTACAGTCTCTGTGGATGTATTGACTACACTATTTAC